GTAAATAATATACCAACCAATATTCATTTGTTTGAACGAGTAGTTCGTGGGAATTAGTTGTTAGATGTTATGAAGTGCTGACTTCAAATGATGAACTAATCAAATATATCGAGCACTACATATCTGTCTCACCCTAGTTTAACACTCCTCAGTAGTTCATACCCTGGACTCTAGAATCCTCAAGTCTTAGGATTAAAATTCTTTCGTACTTATATGCCTAGATTAACCGAATCTCTAACTACTTCACTTTTTATTATTATTATAACATTGATTAAGTGTTAATTTATCACTCGATAATCAGTCGCATATTTTTTTGAGTTTAAACAAAACATGGATCTCCATCTGATGAGCTAAGTTCTAGAAACTATCCATTCAATCTATATTATTGAATTTAACTGAGATTTTAACATATTGTTTATTTTAATTAAGAAACACATTTTACTCATTATAAGAAACATTAAAATGAAACTTATGAAACACTCTTTCTTTTGTTCTCTCCTCCCTTTAATGTTTGACGAATTAAAAAAAAGCGCAAATTACCAACTTTTTCTCACACAGATTCTTCTTTTCCCCGGAGAAGTTCATCGATCTATACCTTTTTTTTTAAAATTCTTTTGTGTTAACTAATTTGATCAATCAATGTCAGTTTACTCATACTCTCCTTTTTTACTAAAATAGTTTTGGAAAAATTCACTAGCTGATTGACATATTTAAATAAAAGAAAAATAAAGTTTTAAAATTTTCCATTGAAATATTGGACATTGATAAGACAAATTGTTTATTTTTCATATCAAAAGTAAAAGGATTAGAATAATAAACTATTGACAAACTATTCAATTGTATTCATTATATTTGAATTATGGAATAAAGAAGAGAACATTGTAGTGAATAAGGAATCAGGTGAGGAAAACTAATTTATTGTTCAACTCAAAATCATACAATGACTTAGTAAATTATCAAAAATTGTACATTAAATGCATTAATTGCATATCTTCTTTGCATTGTCCTTTACACACTCTATTATTCTTCTTCTAATTCTTTTGTTATCTCAAGTGTTCTTCAATTTCCTCCACCCCTTCTTTTCATTGCAATCTTCTACTGTTAGATATTCCATTTCCGATTGATGCGACATACTACTTATATCTGTCAGTATGATTAGTATACACCACAGTATGAGTTTATGTATTTGATTTTTTGAACTAACGATAATCACTAAATATTTTACTCGACTATATAAGAACTTTCGTCTAAACTAGAGCAAATACTTTCACAGTATTTGGGTGCCGAGTTGATGTAAGACATTAAATAGGAATAATATATTTGTAAAATTTCAGCGAATGAATTTGAAGTAAATTCAACGTTTTGCCTGACAATCTGGTCCAAGCTTTTTCTAGGAAATATTCCCTTGAAAAAGCTTGGAGCAGATTTTACTCGATATCTCTACAATATACCATTTCAAATTGTGTCTACATATATAAAAATTTATCAAGCGAAAATATGTCCAGTCTTCATATTATCATATTTTAGTTTATACTGGTTAATGATATAAATTTAAAGTTCATTCGAATGAATACTATGAGAAAAAGTTATTACTAGAATGTGACTATGTTACTAGTTACTGAACTGGAATCGCTGAATTTCTTTTTACTATTCTATATTTTGATGTACAATTCGATTACAAAATGGATTTAAGTTAAATCTATACTTTGAAGCTCGACTGAAAATGAAGGGAGAATCTTTTTAATATCTTTATACTTATTCACTCCTGATTAAAGATTGAGATTTCTCTATTTTATATAATGAATAAATGATAGATCAATGTCATGGTTTAATTATCTTAGTTGTATAAACTCATTCATACTGATATATGAAATTAACACGATTACACAATCATCCCGATAGTAAGGCAAATATTTCTTTAATATTGTTGTGTAGTGAACAGAACACTAGTTGGGGACAATCGAATGTATTTAAGCAAAGATTACAGACTATCTCAGTAAATTTTGAAAACCATACAATGAACAGTCAATTTGCAAATTAACAACCAATTGTTTCAATCTTCACTGTTTCTTCTCTAATTCCATTGCTCATGCATTTTCCAAACGATTGCGCTTCATTTCAGCTCTTTGCTCATTGGTCTTCTGCCAAAATACATTCTGTCTGACCAACACCATATACTACTTATATAGATATAAGTAGACCACACCACAGTTGGTTAAGTTCATTCATAAATGTTTGAATAATTATTTGAAACTGTTTTAGAAATATTTGTAGCAATATAAACACAAGTGCAAATTATTTAAACCATGAAATAATCTTGAAAAGAACACAACTAAAAAACCAGGATCTCTGAACAGCTATTTCAACCTGCCATAAGACTCCACAGCATTGGACATATAAGACCTCGTCACAGAAAATCGAACCCACGAATTTCTGTCTCTCAAAAGAACCCTTAATCTCTATATTACTGTGTCGGAATCCAATTGCGTACGTACCTAACTTCAATTAATTCACAATATTGTACCATTATCTCCCTTGTTTTGTAGAGCACGATTGTTTTACACCCAACAGGACTGAACCCCAGAGATCAAAGGTTCTCAGCAGAACTCCAGAAGTGGTATCTTGAGGATAGTCGGTGAGTAGATGATGATTACCAGTATACGGAATTTGCGGAGATTTTACAAATTCTTACTTTAAATCACGAACTGATCCTGGTTAAACCATCATAGGGGAGTGAGATCGAAGGTCCTGGGTTCGATTTTTTGGGAAGGGGCTGTAGATGCTCATCACTGAGGATCAAAAGTTAGAGTGATAAGACCGTCCAATGCTTTCGGGCTTCCAATGGTGGTCTAGCTGAAAATAGTTCATAATTTGAAGTATGAAATTTTTAAAATCTCCAAAAAACCCATATATCAAAAGCAATAAATTATCAAATTCAGTCGTTCTGTCGAAAAACTGTCAATTCAAATTATATTCACCAAAATCATACAGACAGCCAGTAACTCGGCTAAAAATAAAGATCATTTTTTCAAAACAGCCCATCGTTTTACAAATCAGTGAATCAGTAGTCTGGCATATAGCAACAATTAATTCCATCCGTAAATAAGTAGCTTATAGTTTATTTTCGACCATATTTCGACAGCATTATCAACGACATCCTTAACTTATAGTAAGAGAAATGATAAGAACATCATTAGCATATGTAAATATAAATTCTCAATCTCACGTTTTACTTTGCCATCAAACCATTAGCTATTCTTTAACAACAGAGAAAATGACAAGTGAGCACCAAATGTTTTCATCTGATTCATCCTCTCAAAACACAAAACACATCAGCCACAAACTTGGGTGACATCACTTGAAGAGAATTAATTAGTATATCGAGTCTTAGATTATTGACTAATAGTTCTATTATCAATTGGATATACCAGAATTTTAGTTATAATATTAGAATTGCCTCAAAATACGTAGCCATTTAAATCCATTACTTGTTTCTGCTAAATTCAAAGGATATAACTGACTCATCAAATTATCCATTAAAGGATGGTAGTAACCTAAAATATTTTCTGAAATATTCTTGTAAATATTTTACATATTTAAATATTATTAAGTAGTTTGTTATTCTATTGCTAATTTTTTAGGAAGTGTATTGTAATAATTAGTTACAAATATCGATTCACATACTAGAATAATCGAGAAATATTCAATCTTAAAAGATTTATTTTGTGTCAAATCTTAGTAATTCATGAGATTTTGGGAATCTCAAAATACGCTTCTTCTATATAAAAAACTAAAGAATAAGGTATTTATATACTCAGTTTGCTTACTGATATCTTCAGAAATCAATTTAATGAATGGCTTTGGTTAACATATCATGAGCTACACTGAAAAGTTTGAATATACACCATTGACCGTCACTTGATTTCGATTATTTCACATTGACTTTATTACTTATTGAAGATTGCTTTTTTATTTAGTTTATTTCAATAGACTTATCATTACTATCCTGAAGTTACAAACAATTAACTAATATTACTTAACTAATCACTGAGTAATAAACAATATGCTCCTTATCTTGTCTTCAGTGCTAATCTAGTTCTATCAATCTAATTACAATATACTAGGCAGAATAAGTAATCTAATTTTATTTATGCATTTTATTTAATGAAATTATTTTCAAGTTTGCATGAAGTATCACATCCTTTAAGATTGAAGGTACATCATACTGATCAGTACCACTTGGCAGAGCCTAAAAGAGGGTCTTCCTGTTGACTACTTTCAGATGCCTTGTAATTAATCAATGCATATTAAAATAGTAGAGTATAACATTTTAAATGCTTTCTATGAGATAAAGGAAAAGTATCAACAGTCATAAACATCAAAAAAACTTGCGCCAGTACATATATAACTTTTCCCTTTCCAAAAAAAAATAAAGAGATGGATAACAACAAATACATTTTGATATATTTCTAATAATAATAAAAAGGATAATAAATAGAAAGAAAATACTATCGAGAAAAAGAATAATCTATGCAACAATAAATTGTCATCAAAAAAATCTTTTTTATCCTCAATGTAAACACCGTTTGATTTATACACAGAATAATAATGATTATATATATATATATATACGATTATTTCTTTTCATTATTTTAGTTGACTATGATCATATTTTATCAATCTTTTAAAGTAAGTCACTAGAATGATAATGGACGGCAATACTGACTACTTCAATTTTATGATAGGGGAACACATTTATTACTTTACTACAGTGGATACAATAAAAAAGCCATTTAACATTACTACAATTTAGTTACTATTCCTCACACTTTCTATAAATCATGATAACTAATGTATTTTTTTCTCGTTTCATGATGCATTTTTTTACCTTGGAACGAACAAAAAAGAAAGCGCTCAACGCTGAAAATTTATTAGGATTATTATTATAACCATTATGATTATTGTTATGATAGTTAGAGTTATCCGTTTGCTGACTGCAATCACTTAAAGTAAAATACATAATCTTCATTTTTTGATGGAGTTTTATTCTTTGAGCTGGATGATGATGATGATGATGATGATGATGATGATGATGATGATGATGATGATGATGATGATGATGATGATGATGATGATGATGATGATGATGATGATGATGATGATGATGATGATGATGATGATGATGATGATGATGATGATGATGATGATGATGATGATGATGATGATGATGATGATGATGATGATGATGATGATGTGATGATGATGATGATGATGATGATGATGATGATGATGATGATGATGATGATGATGATGATGATGATGATGATGATAGTTACAGTCATCTGTTTTCTGATTATAATCACTTAAAGTAAAACTCATAATCTTCTTATCTATTATTTATTCTCAATGATATTTTTTGTTTGATAACAATCAAGCAATCTATCAAAGTCATCAAATTGAATACGACTTGCTATAATTTCATTAATATTTATCTTACTCAGTCATATAATTCATAACTGAAGACTAATTGGAATATTTAATTAGTTGGTAATAATTTTTAAAGATTACTGGATGACAGTCGAATGCATTTGAACACGTAAAATCAGAGAACTATATAGTAAATACTTCATTTGCAAAATATCAGTCAATCGATCGTCTCAGACGTCATTGTTTTTTTCATTTCCACACTAATCATTCTCTGTTCTCGTTCTCTTTTTAATCTTCTGCCACCAGGCATTTCACTTTCGATTGATGATACATACTACTTATGTCTGTCGACATTAGTAGCATCATGATTAAAATTGTTTTAAACTATCTAATAATGATGATCAACATTTTAAAACAGTAAAAGGTTATGTGTAAATTCTTATTTGTTGGAATAAATACTGAAGAAATTATCATACAAGTCAATTTCCTTAAAACAAGTAGATTGGTTATGCTGTCATTCAAGTATTATCCCCTTATAAATTTACACGGAATAAAACAATCATTATTCAGTTTTCCTAGATTGAAACTGATATCAAGTATGGTAAGGTTTCTTGTTTTAGAAACATCCCTATCAGTTTCATCCATCACATATTTTCCAATGATAAAGATATAGTTTAATAATCTCTGATTATCATCAAACACTGTTTCTCCAGTGTAACCTTTTTCCTATGGAGGAATGCTCTTTTAATTTTATAATTGTTTTCATGATAAATCAAAGTAACCGTCTGACAAATGACTAAAGGAGTCCCTCTATTCTTTTTTACCATTCAATAACATTTAAACTATGTCTACAATTTGGATTGTATATCCTTGGATTTAGAAGATTAGCCTTCTCATTAATCAGTATCAAGAAACGATGTTGGGTCAACATATTTATCATTTTTATGATAACCTAAACATGAGTCAATAAGAACATCTTATGGAAAGTAGCAAAATAATGAAGTTTACTATAAATAATGATAATGATATATTCTGAAAATAATAATTATTACAGAATTCATGCCAGTTTACAGGCATAATCGGTTTCATATAAATAGTAACATTAGATGTAGAGAGTAAACATATGATATAAGATTGTTTTAAGTTTACTAGTTGAATAATTGTTTAGGTATTATATTTATAGCATGTATTACAGCACTGTAATGCATCGGTCGGGAACTTTTAATTCTTCTTAAGTGGATATCCTGTTGATTTGTGAACGGTGCATTTAATGTCATTTCCTGTTCCATAACAAATAAATTATAATCATCTATAACTAGTAAAAGCAAAATGAAAACAGAGAGCATGGAACAACAAAGTAATCATTACTAAAATATGTCAGTCAGGTCTACCATAATGCATATTTCATATGGCTCAGTGATATACTGTTCATGTTAGATATTATTCAAATTAGTTAAGGTTGACGGGGACGGTATTAATGTAAAGTAACAGCAGATAAGTGCTTTTACTTATTGAATTCAGCAATAAGAATGGCTAAACATTTGAAGTTCCTATAATCTCACTTGTAGAATAAAATACTTACAGATGCTAGAACATTTAATGCATTTTCAAAGGAGCAGTAAGTATTAATGCATACTACTTATGAAAAGATAAATCCTTTCTCTTAAACGGTTGTGTTTGTTTTTTCCAAAAATATAAAATGCATTAACAGATCAATTCTAATTCATTCATTATATACGTGCAATTATTTTTGACTTTTGTATGGATCATTTAAATTTAATCATAAAATTACAAGGATAAAACACTGCTGACTAAAGTGCAAAGATATGACAATGTATCAGATACTTTCGAATTTGTTACGTAATGGATGTTACATCATAATCTTATATTTAGATCCATCATTCCAATGGTGATTAATTGAACATTCCTACTAACTATTGAAAGTGTTTTATACTGTAGGACACAATCAATCATCAAACATGTATTTTGAATTATTAAGCCCTAGATAGTCATTCCTGGTTTGTTTGGGTCTTCCAGTCATGAACTGATATAACCTATTGAAAGAATAATTCACATGACGTAATTAAGAACCTGAAAATGATAGATAAAAATTCACTAGGCATCAAAACTGAAAATATGTAAATAAACTAATTTTTATATGACTTGTTTACACTGGTTAATAATCAGATTTGTATAAATTACACTCAGTAGTACCCGGGATTGGTAAATCAATAACTAACCGTATGAGCAAAATTTCACATCAAAAAATTAAAAATCTGTAACTATCAGATATAACTAATTTATTAAGTGATATGAATACTCCTTCTTAACACATGAATAACTGTCGTAGATGTCTACAAAATATTTGTTTTGTAAGCCATTTTGGCGAGACTATAATTTATGGATGAATCAGTCAGGTATAAGATAATAGGTCTCGGATTCTGGCGTGAATTTCATTCATCCGTTTGGCTAAACAGAGTTTTGGCATTATAGCTGATGTTAGCTCATCATGAAAACCCTATATCTAATTCCTAGACCTAACTATCAACTTTAAATCATAATTCTAATTCTTCACACCGATTTATAACCCTCATTTGGTCCTAGTGTAGTGTGTTCTACTTATTTCCATATAAGTAGTATATGGCGATGGTCAGACATAGAATGTATTTTGACAGCAGACCGATGAGGAACGAACAGAAATGAGGTGCGATCGGTACAAAAATGCATGGACAATAAAATCAGAGAAGAGGGACTGGTATTTGCAGAAGGAACAGTTAAGATTGAGACGATTGGTTGTTATTTTGCAAATTAACTGTTTGCTGTATGGTTATCAGAATTTAGTGAGACAGTCTGTATTTTGTGCTTAAATACATTCAATTGTCCCCACTCGTGTTCTGTTCATTACACTAGTTATTAGGTGGACACTCTCAAGATCACTTTGGCGTTGCTCAAAGGTAGTTCACAAATTGATAGTCTCACTGGTCATTTTGATCTATTAAATCTTTGCTCGGCATATGATGAATTTCAATACTTTCTCAGAAAGATAATATAATATGTTATACCAACTTAGTGTCATCAAAACACGCTACTGTTCATAAAAAGTTTGATGTGTCACTATTAGATTAGCTAAAAAATACTGAATATTCCATCATTTCATTTGTTCTAGATTAACAAAGGGATTATAAGAGAAAAATCAAACCGAGATCTAACAGAAATTTAATCTTAAGACAGACTTCAATTTCAACTAATGTTTTTTTTCATATCTATCTTACAGTTTTTTAGTTCGTTATCTTTATCACACGGTGATAGTTTGTATAACTTGGTAGAAACAAGGGAATTCATTAGTGTTTTTGCTAGAATTCCCAATCGATTTCTGTGATTACATGGTTGAAACATTAAAACTATGTTTAGTATAAATCAATTAACTAAAGCAAAACAACAATATCAACAATGGAACATGTTATTAACATATTGGGAGACTTAACTATAGCATCGATCATGTTCTTTTTTCAACATTTTAATTTTTTCTTTTCATTGTTTGTTTGTTTGTTTGTTTGTATAGGTTTGAATTTGTATTTTTTTTCTCATTGCCTGGGAAGAAATTGATTTTGTTCTGCTTAGTGTTTGTCTCTAATTCTCTTCATCTTATTCAATATCATATACATGCCACTATACTTCTTTTTTTCTTAATTCAACTAGTTATTGATTGATTTGTTTATTTATTTAATAAGTTATCAGTTTATTTACTTACCTTTTGTCAGTTTACATTATTAGCTAATACCATCACTATTAATATCATCATTTCAGGTAGATGAATAGACGAAACGGCCATCCAGTGCTTCCAGGTTTTCGATGGTGCTCTAGCTTCAATTGACTCATGATTTCAACTTTGAAAAATACTGAAATCTCCACAAATCCCCTTCTAAAGATGAATATTTATCAAATATTTTGATAATCAAATTCGACATTTTTCATTTCCATCTTTTTTGTTATAAGAGAGTTTATCTTTTTAAAATTGTGAGATGTACTTCTCTTACTTTATAACAACTAATAAACTGGAAATTCCATTACAACTCGAAAAATACATATAACTAAACATTATGTACTATATGCTAATTTATCACAGTTTGTAGATTTGGGCCTGGGATAAACTTCACGTTTTCAGGTTATTTAAGTGTACTGTAGTTATTAATTACGGTTGTGTTACCGTTTACTTGGTCACCCACTTGAGGATATTTTGGAATAACTTCTATTACAGAAGTAGTTGGAGGTATAACTATTGCTACGTTGTAATTTTCCTTCCACCATGATCGACTGATCTACACTTGACACGCCCAAGGCATGATAGAGTTATAGCTTCGTTATAGAAAACTTGACAACTTTTACGTAAGGCAGCAAAAATAACCGAGAACGAATTAAACCTTCCATTACGGATTGTGATAGTGTAAATAATGATTCTCGCTTCACTTTGGCTAGTTACTAGGTGGAAAGCCAAAATTGCTAACGAAAGTGAAGTTTCTCCTCACCCTACTACTTACGAAAACTGACTAGTCAAGTTCACGGAGAGAAACCTTTCAAAAACAAGTACACCGATGTAACATAACATATATTATTTGATAGGATCCGACATATAATTAAATGATATTGGAGACAGAAATAGGTTAAAATTATTGGTAAAAATGCAGTTACACTTCGCTAATGTATCACAGATTGAATGTAATATGACGATTATTCATGAGTGTGATGATACATATAAGTATCAAAAGCTACTGAATAAAAATAATTTATTCCAGTTACTATTCTTGAAAATTTAAGTGGTATAGAGCAACAACTTAATATGATATAAAATTAATCGTAATATAACTGAGAATCAAAGAGCGGTTGTTGTTTTCTTCTCCGCGACTAAGTACTTTGC